CATCTAAATTCAACTGAATTAGTTATCTAATTTTTTCCTTCTCCATAAGCTAAATTACTTGTTAAATAAATTGAACCATATTATGTTTAAACAAAAATCAAGCTCTGCATTTTTGATTACTTATCTCACTAGTTTTTGTTACATATTGATGATACTGGCATGGATACAGTGATGTTTTGGGCCAGATTGATGATGTTTGCATGGGTGCATTACATTATATTTTTTATTTATGGAAAACATGTATACCTGATATGTTTTGTTATTAAGATTATTTTTCATTTGAATTTTAATTGTTGGTTTGGATAGTATGTGTATTTGTTGGATTATACTATGTTTATGGATTCTTATTTTCTTTCATATGTACAGTTAATAGTTGAATTTTGTATATGGTTGAAAATTAAATGCTACAGGTTGTGGAGAAATATTTTTATTGAATGGTTGAGAATTGAATGAATGAACGAACGAATGGATGGATGAATAATTTTATATATGCATAAGTTACAGGTGGTGCAAAAAATATTATAAAACAAACTATAAAAACTAAATGAAACCTTTTGTTGACTAAACAAATATCACAAGTTAGCTTTTGGCTACTAAAATTTTAGTCGTCACTAAACAAAATTTTGGCTACTAAACAAATAGTGGAACTTTTGACTACTAAACTTTTAGTCACCAATTGTAAAAAGGAAACTTTTGGCTACTAAATTTTTAGTCGCTAATTCTCAAAAAGTGAAACTTTTGGCTACCAAATAGTTAGTTGCCAAACATACATGCTCAATTGGCTACTAAATAATTCAGTCGCTAAAAAGTAAAAAATATATATATTTAATTATTTTTAAAAAATATATGGCGACTAAAGTTTTAGCCGTCGATAGGTCACTTTTGGCTATCAAAAAAATTTTAGTCGGCGATTGTCTTCCCTGACAAACAATTGGTGACCAAACTGGCGACCAATCTGGCGACCAAATATATTAGTTGCCAGAAGTACTTGGTGACTAAAATAAGTCTTTTGGCGACTAAAATTTTAGTTATCAAAAGTGAAATTTCTTGTAGTGTTGTTAAAAGTTAAAACATTTTATTTTAATATGTATATATATATAAACGATTTTCAAAAAGTAATGCAAATGAAAAATGGAAAATTAGTTGGAGTGAAGATAATTTTCATATAAAATCTTACAAAATAAATAAATAATTTTAAAATATTTGAAAAATAACGAATGCTACAAATAAAATACAATCAACATAATTTTCTATTAACTTAAAATATTGTAATTCTTACGCATAATTATTTATTAAATGACACTAATGTTTAGGGGTTAGAATTACCATCTCATTCAATATTTAATATCTGTTTGGCAACTTAATTTTTTTTTTCACTTTTTTATGAAGCAAAAAATTACTGTATTTATATTTTTAATTAAATAGATAACTATAAAAGAAAATTAAGGGATATTTATCAATAAGTCCCATCTCACAAATAAGTATTCCATTTAGTCTTAAGTTTTTTTATTGATCTGTTAAGTCTTAATAGTTGAGAGTTTTTTTCCGTGTGATCCTATTTTCGATTTTGGTAATATTTTAGTGGACGAATATACCATTTTATCAATGTGACAAGTATGATGTAACACTCTAATGTGATAGGTATTCATGTGACACTCTAACGTGGCGGGAATGATGTGACACTCAAAAAAAATTAAAATTTTTTTAATATATTTTTCTCAAATGTGATAATATGGCGGGTATGATGTGACAATCTAAATCTTTTACTCCAAAAAAATTAAAAACTCCTTAGTGTACTTTTCTCAAATGTGACAACGAGACGGATATGATGTAACACTCTAAAATAGCTAGAAACTCTTCAGTATACTTTTTTTTGTTTCAAATGTAACAACGCAACGGGTGTAATGTGACACTAAAAAAAAAACTAAAAACTTATTCGTGTATTTTTTCTAAATGTGATAATGTGATGGGATATCATGTAAAATTTTAAAAATTAAAAACTCATTAGTTTACTTTTTTACTTTTTTATTAAGCGAAAAATTACTGTATTTATATTTTTAATTAAACAGATAACTATAAAAAAAATTAAGGGATATTTATCAATAAGTCCCATCTCACAAGTATTCCAATTAGTCTTAAGTTTTTTCTATTAATCTGTTAAGTCCTAGTAGTTGAGAGTTTCTTTCCGTGTGATCGTATTTTCGATTTTGGTAATATTTTAGTGGACGAATATGCCCTTTTATCAATGTGGGAGACCTAAAAAAAAGAATATACCCTTTTATCAATGTGGCAAGTATTATGTAACACTCCAATATGGTAGATATTTATGTGACACTCTCATGTGGCGAGGATGATGTGACACTTCAAAAAAATTAAAAATTTCTTAATATACTTTTCTCAAATGTGACAATATAACGGGTATGATATGACACTCTAAATCTTTTACTCTAAAAAAATTAAAAACTCCTTAGTGTATTTTTTTCAAATGTAACAACGTGGCGGATATGATATAATACTTCAAAATAACTAAAAACTCTTTAGCATACTTTTTTTTCAAATGTAACAACGCAACGGGTATGAAGTGACATTAAAAATAAAAAACTAAAAATTTATTAGTGTATTTTTTTATAAATGTGATAATATGATGGGGTATGATGTAAAACTTCAAAAAAATTAAAAATTAATTAGTTTACTTTTTCTAAATGTGACAACGTAGCGAGTCTGATGTGACATTAAAAAAAAACTATAAATTTAGTAATATACTTTTTCCAAATGTGACATGTGACATTCTAACGTGATTGGTATGATATGATATTGCAAAAAATAAAAAATTCTTTAGTGCATTTTTTCCAAATATGACACTCTAACGGTAATAGGTATAATGTAACACTAAAAAACTCTTTAATGAATTTTTTTCAAATGTGACACTCCAATGTGGTGGGTAAATGAGTCATTACACATCAAAAAAGACTACACAGATCATAAGAAAAAATATGGGACTATATAAATTACAAGTCCAAAAATATAGGACTTATTGATCAATCTCTCAAAAATTAATTAACATGTATAATATTATATAGGGTAAATTACACTGACACCCCCTGAGGTTTATATTTATTATAGTTCCCCTTTACGTTTTTTAAATTACATCTCCCTTCCTGAGGTTTAAAGTTTCATCACAGATTCTCCTCCTCAACAATTTAATTTTTTAAATACCAATTTTGCCCTTACTAGGTAAATTACATTGACACCCCTCACATTTTAGAAATTACAATCCCCTCCCTAAGGTTTAAAGTAGCATTACCAATTGCCCCCTCGGTTAGTATTAGTTGGAAAAAAAAATTCATTGAAAAAAAATTTTGTTAGTAAATTTTTTAAATTTCTGTTTAAAAACCAACGTAAACTCATTTTTTGAATTTACGTTTTTTCCTTAAATTTACAAACTGAAACAACTATTTATAAATCAAAAAAATTATCAAATAAGTTTTTATCACAGTTTTTAAAATTTTTGTAATTATAAATTGAAAACTGAAAACGAAATAGTTACCAAACAAGTTTCAGATGGTAAAAATATTATAAAATAAACAAATAATTAAATAAGTTACCAACATAAGAAATGACTTATCAAAAGATTTTTAGGCTATGTATGGTTTAATTTTTAGAAAAAAATTTGGTTAAGAAATAAAAAATAAAAAATAATTATCATTTTTATATAATTTTTGTCTTTCGAGTGGTTAGAAATATTTTTTTATAAATTAAATTGAAACAACCATACGTATGTATATAACCTGCCTAAAAGTTAAATGATAATTATTCTTTACCCTTAAATGATAATTATTTTTTATTTCTTAACCAAATTAATTTTTACATTTTAAAAAAAATTTCTAAAAATCAAACCATACATGGCCTAAGAATTTTTTGATAAGTCATTTCTTACGTTGGTAACTTATTTAATTATTTGTTAATTTTACGACATTTTTACTATCTGAAACCTGTTTGGTAACCATTTCGTTTTCAGTTTTCAATTTATATTTACAAAATTTAAAAAACTGTTATAAAAACTTGTATGATAATTTTTTTGATCTATAAATGGTTGTCTCAGTTTATAAATTTAAGGAAAAAATGTAAATTTAAAAAATGAGTTTACGTTGATTTTTAAACAGAAATTTAAAAATTTTACTAATAAAATATTTTTCAAATAAATTTTTTTTTAAACAATTTTTTTTTAAAATAATTTTTTTTCCAATTAATTTTTTTTCAATTAATACTAACCGATGGGGCAATTGGTAATGCTACTTTAAACCTTAGAGAGAGGATTATAATTTCTAAAATATGAGGGGCGTCAATGTAATTTATCTAGTAAAGACAAAATTGGTATTTAAAAAAATTAAATTACTGAGGGAGAATTTATAATGAAACTTTAAATCTCAGGGAGAGAGATGCAATTTTTAAAATATGAGAAAAAAAATTACAATAAACATAAATTTAAGGAGTGTCAGTGTAATTTATACTATTATATATCTATATAATAAGGGAAGAGGGTTTTTGAAAATGTATAAAATGTGTGTGAGATACATTTGATATTAACGGTTGAGATGAATCTATGCAATATAACTTTAAATCTTATATGTTTGTTTCTTAATTTGCATTAAGATTAGGGAGAGTTGTTATTTTATTTGAGTTTTGTAGAGCGTGTAATACAAACAAAATTGTTATAAGTTCTTTAAGAAGAAAAATATTTCAATATATTTTTTCAGTATCTTTATCAAAAAATGACACAAACTTTATAAATTTCAACATAATACTTATAAATTATAACTATATTTTAATTTTAAAATTATTTACACCGTGCCTTTAGGCACGGGCATACGCTAGTATATATATATATTGTGACTTTAATTTTCTTAGTCAAAAACTTACAAACCAAACAGGGCTCTCAAAGTGGACCCCCCAAAGAAGGACAGCACAGCACCCCTGCGCCTTTAGCACAACAAGAAGCAGTATATCCAAATCCGAAAACGCACAGTTCTGTATGCCAGTAAAATAATCTTCCGTCGTTTCATTTGGCCATATCGCGATGTCCGATAACACCGAAGAGACTAACGTGGCACTAGAGCGACAACAAGAAGAACAACCCCCAACAATGGCCGACACCGAACCCCAAACACACCACCACGAAGAGCCCAAAAAACCAGAGAAAATGGCCAACATATCCTTCAGCATTTGGCCTCCGTCGCAGCGCACTCGCGACGCCGTCGTCAACCGCCTCATCGAAACCCTCTCCACGCCTTCCGTCCTCTCCAAGCGCTACGGATCCATGTCCCACGACGACGCCGACGCCACCGCCCACCGCATCGAGGACGAGGCCTTTGGCGCCGCCTCCGCTTCCGCCTCCGCCGATGACGACGGCATCGAGATCCTCCAGATCTACTCCAAAGAGATCAGCAAACGCATGCTCGACGCCGTCAAGTCCAGATCCGCCTCCGGATCTGCACCCAACGGCACCCCCGCCGTCGACCCCACTCCCACCGCCAGTGAGGAAATCTCATCCGCTGTCGATCCCACTCCCACCACCAGTGAGGAAATCTCATCCGTTGAAACTGAGTAGTGTTTTATTTCTGTTATGTTGGGGGTTTCGATGCTATTTTCCTCTATTGAGATCTCTTTTGTACTCTTTTATGGATTTTGGATTGCATCGTCTTTAATTTTCTTCATGTCTGCGATTTTTTTTTTTTTTTTGTTTTGATGTTGGGGAGGTGCTCCACACATTAGGATCCCTCCCAACTTAGCTCGTATAAATAGATATGTCTTATGTTTATTTTGAAGCAATGAACACCGTAGGTGTTCGCTCTTGCATTCTCTCTTATGTTTCGAATTAGAAAACATTACATTGAAGAATGATTTTAGAATTGAAAATTTCTCACCTTTTCTCAATGTTTTGTATGGTAACTAGAAAAGGAATAATGATTTCCTTAGCAGTTTTTCTTTTCCATTACAAAATTTATGAATTAAATTGAGCATCAAAGATGATAACGAAGAAAATGAGTGTTTGGTGTCATATTCAAAATTGTTTTGGTTTTTAATGCTTTTGAAAATAAAAAATTGATGAATTGTTTGAGAACAATTTAAAAGTGTTTATTAAAAAAGGTGTGTTTTGGGAAATTTTCTTGAAAACAATTTGCCAAACAAGTTTTTCGTATCAATTTCTGTTTTTCCTTTGTTGAGAATAGAAAAGGAAAATAATACTAGTCACGCCCAACTTACATAATATTAGTGTGTGTGCTTATCATAAGAACACCATGACATATTAGGGGGGGATGGAAAGGAAGAGACCAAATCCTGCTACGAGCTTGGGCGTAAGAAAGCCCAACCTCTCGCATATTCGTGAATCTCTCATAATGAAGTTCTGATTTCAATTGAAAATGCAAAAGCAGAACCAATGGCTATGTTGCTCTCTCAGAAGTTTGATCTAGACTATGAGAGGCCCCAAGAAAGAAGAAACTTAAAGAACAAAGAAATATGGAAAACTAGTTCATTTATGTTCAAAGCTTGTTGGATTTTTATATATTGTTATTGTACATTACTTTAGTTTTTGTTTGGATGCGTTAAAGTAGGTCTTGCGAGGTTAAAAATCTAGAACAAGTTTTATAGTTCCTTGGGAGTGTTCTGGTTAGTGTTAAGTTAGCCTCAATAGTTGGTTGTTATTTCTTATCTACTTGTTGCCTATGTTGCTATTTGTCTGCAACTTCTTAGCCGCTTTGTCTCCAGGTTGTTGCCTAGTTACTTCTTTCACTTCAAACTACTTTGTGTAGTAAATTACCAACTTATTCACGTTTATGGTTTTGGAACTCCGGAAACTGTAATGAATGAGTTGAAAAAGAATTTTAGCCTTCAGTTCTATTATACATCGAGATGAGCTTCTCTTGTTTTGTGATTGTACAAGACCTTGATCCAGAAATGTGCTCCTGTTCTGGCATGGTTTGATGCCTCAATCACTTCTTTCTAATTAGTTTTTGTCTTTCTTGTTTATCTTTTAGATTACCACCTTTTTTGCCTTTTGTTGACCTCCAATGTTGGTTATGTATTGCATGTGTTTGTCCAAATGAGTTATATTGTTTGAAATTTATGTAGTTCTGGTGCCATTTTCATTGTCATCAATGTTTTTGATTATGCTGTGCTAAGTAGAGGATTTGATTCTTGGAATCCTACCATCCAACCCATGAATGGTTGTTGGTCATAGAATAGTTAGAGGTGGCAATTGTTGCATAGGTTGAAATTGTGTAGTCTATTGGTGGAGTTGTATAGCATAAAGATTTGAATCTCCCGTTGTTTTCTTTGTCGAATCAGTCCGTAATTTTTTCCAATTTTATTGTCCAAATTTTTGGGAATGAAGTGTTGACTTATTAGATTCTCTGGACTAGGATTGGCAGTCAGGCCTGATTAATTGGGTGTGGGTTTGGGGAGAATACAAACGGGTAGAGGCAGGTGCGTGTTGAAAGAAATAAATCGAAGTTGGGCTTGGCCAGGGATGCAGTCAAGGGCTTGTAGCCACACTGCCCTAATTAGATTGTCATTTTACAAATCTGGAGCCCCTAATTACTTGCATATATATCATCGTGGAATCTATTTTTCTCTTTTGATGTTATTTTACAAATGGGATACTTGGATGATTAGGGGAAATCCTTTAATTTTTTTTTCCCGAGGACAGTTTACTTCTTGATACAAAGAAGTAGAATCAGTCCGCTGTTTTCAATAGCATGCGAATGACAATTTTTTCCCAAAGTGCAGAAAATGAGGTTCTAGTTGTTGAGATGTTCGGTTTGTGGTTATGGTTTTGGTGTCATACCCCGGTGTGTGCACTTGCTACTTGATATGTTCTAGCATTTTTACTCTGGTTTCTTATTTTTGTCGACAAAGCTTCATGTTGCTATGTCTCTGTCTCTGTCCATATTACTTGTCATCTTCTTGTTGATGATTCTTTTACAACTTGGTAAAAACAGAGGGATAATTGAAGAACATGTAAAGATAAAAAACCAAATTGAATTGACGAGTGTGATGCATTTAGCCTTCGTTTGGAATGTGGGTTAGTTTTTGAATTTTTTTAGTTTGGGATGTGGGTTAGTTTTTGACTTTTTTTAGTTTGGAGTTGAAAAATCTCATTTGGAATGGATTTTGTAACTTTTTTTTAACTTTTGTGAGAGAAAAGTGAAATGATTATGGTTTGGATGTGATATTTTATCTTATTGATTTTTTAGTTTATTTTATGTTTTTGTGACTAAAATAGCCAAAGAAGATCATGCCAAACCTAGCGTTAATTAGAGGTCACAATCTGCCTTTCTAAAAATAAAAATAAAATAAAATTAGAGCTCACAATCTGACACAATTGTCTTAAATAGGGGTGATTATTCAGTATTTTTAGAGTATAGACACGTGGTATTTTATAAGATTTTGATTGGTAGAGAGGGGTAGGGGTTTACGATTTATGTTGGGGATAGGGGACAATATGAAGGCTAATTAGTTGGTGATTGGTTTGGAGTATGGTCATGTAGTGTTTTGGGATTATTAAATAATTTCTCCTCAAATAGGGTGAGACATGATTACGTGCATTTAGGATATTTTGAGCGGAGTTATGGCATATATCTCAAATAATTTAACAAATTTTTTATTAAATCTTTTACATGCGTGTGAGATTTGCACACATGTAGGTTTGTGTAAGTCTTACACTCATGTAAAAAATTTAATACAAAGTTGATAAATTATTTGAGATGTATAGCATTTTCCTTTTGAGCGGTATGAATTATGTTTTGTAATTTGTTTTATTTTTAAGCCTAATTGGTCACCATGCCTTCCTTAGGACTTAGTTTCAAGAAGGTCATAGGTTCAATTACCCTTACGGAGTTGAATTAAGGGAGTACAAACACTTAGTATTTTGTCAAAGATGAGGAGATTTTCTCTCATAAGTGTTAATCTAACAACTAACATTTATCGGTTAAAAAAAAACGAAAATTATGTTTTGTAATTTGCTAGTGTAGTATTCATTATTTTTTAAAGTGACAGAAATCTTAAGTACATCAGCTTCGATTGACAAAAAGACTCACCATATTAAGCCTCCGTATGGGAAGTGGGTTGGCTTTTTGGCTATTTTAGTCTGGGGTTAAAAAGTCTAGTTTGGGAAGAATTTTTTGACTTTTTGACTTTTTTGACTTTTTTTGTGAGAAAGGAGTGTAATGATTATGGGTTGGATTTGATGTTTTGTTTTTTGTGGCTAACATAGCCTATTTTGTTTTTTGTGGCTATTTTAGCCCCTAACCCACCGAAACCAACTTCCCAAACTATGCCTAAAGTCGTCTTGGCATCTCTCAGTATATTAAAGTATTCATTTTTAAATATCACTTGATATATTAATTAGTATATTAATAAATGATGTGGTATAATTTTAAAAATTTTAGATATTTATAATTTATGTAATGGGTGAGATTAATAATAATATTATAACATATATGAATACACTAATTAGTGCATGTAGCACCATTGAATATTTTTATATACTACTGTTGGCTTTTTGGCTTTCGAAGGTTATTACAGTAATTTTGAGCGTGCCAGTAAGGATCAATCAGTCCTTACAGAAATTCAATTGCCAACCAATTATCAGACGATTGTGTTTTAGTTCTTTCAGCATCAATGAAGAAGACTTTTACTGGTGGCTTTGTTTAGGAAGAATAAACTAACAATGATTAAATGAATAACAATTGCAGTATTTCATTAAGTAAAACGAAAGACTTACAATGATCCAATTCAGCCTCGTAGAGGCTTACAACAACAATCTACTTGAAACTACTCCTATGAACGAAATGCAGTGTAGGAATTTGAAGTACAGAAATGTAAATAACAAGAAATGTAAAACTGGAAAAGAAATAAAGTAGAATAAAACTAGTTTTCTAGATCTGAGTTTGAGGCTTTTTCTAGGGCCTTCTATGCTATTTATACTTCTCAAGGATAACCATCGAACTGCACTTTTAACCATCGAAACAACGCTTCTCCATGATCGCTGATCATGTTGCCTTATAGTCAGCTCCACTACGCCAGTACCTGTAGTTGGGTTTCCCTCCTGATTTTGAATTTAAATATAAGTAACCGTTGAAGTCACATCACTTTAAATTTCTTTGCTGATCCAGTACCACGCAGATCTTATGAAAACCAATACTAACTGCCACGTGGACGACCACGATCGAAGATTTGAATTGTCTTCCCGTATTATCCTCAACCTGCCACGTGTTGAATTGTAATTGGCTTATACAAAATATGTAGCCAACATTACCCCCCGCACTAATATACCCAATACTTGGCGATATTAGTGGATCAAGGTCTTTTATCCACGTCTTAGAACGTGCATGGGCTTTGCATTCGTCCAGAAATGCAACTGTCATTCATCATTTGCATTAAATTCTCTTTTAATTCTTTGAACATCCCCACCATCTTAGTATTCGAACAGACTGATACATCTTTTATGGCCAAATCAATTCACTCTTCTATTGATCGAGTATACGAGGAGTCATCTGATGATGCTGTTCTTCCTCGAAAAAACCTTCATGCATTGATTGGCCACCTTTATCTACCTTCCTATATTCAAGTCATGGAAGCTTTTGCAAACTATCAACCTTTGGATTACACACTTGCTACTCATAATTTTCTAACCCAAAATTTTGCAAAAATGGACATTAGAAGCTCTTCCACTAATCCACAATCTTCTGTATGAGATGAGGCTGTGGCTTCTTCTTCCTCTGGGGCTTCTGGTTGGAGAAGCTGGTCAGAACCTGAGGCATGTGAGTTAAGAGAGCGAGTTAATTATCACTTTGTCGAGTTCACTGAACCTCTAGAATTCCCTTCTGATGCTCGAAGTTTGGTGGTTTATCCTTACGTGCCCA